TTCATCAGCCTAGGTTCACAAGCTATTCTTAGACGTAGATTTTTTTAAATTTAAATTGCATAATATTTTGTAATATATACTGGTGCTATAATGCTGAAAAAATAATAATAAATTTCTAAATCGTGTATATTCATGCTAATTATTTCTATCTAGTCTCTGGAAGCAATTGGAAAAATGGTAACGTATCTGTTTTTGTACAAATCTCGAATTCTTGGTAACTTAATTTCAGGAAATATTACAAGTTTTTTGGTGAAATGTTAAAAGAACCAGTATGTGTTCAATGTTATACACGAGTTGTGCCAACTAAAAAAGGTGTCTAGGTAAATATTCACAAATTCGAAAACCTAGCTAAACGCCGTTTTCCGGTACTTTCTGTACACAGCTCTGGGGAATTCACCTAATGGAGTGTAATAGCGAACTCGATGTTTTCGGCTTTTTTTTTTTAAATTAAATGGAATAAAACAGTTATTTCTTTATAATAAAAATAATTGAAAATCATTGTATAAATAATTCCATACAAAAAAATAAAGTAAATACACAAGTTCACGCTGAAAATAACCTTATTGATTCCACTATGTCTGTTTAAATTTTATTGATTTTCATTATAAACAATTTATTTTTTACAAAAACTTGCAATAGATATTAAAGGAATATTGATGTCACGGTTCAGAACTGTTCACTATTTAGGGAGAAGATGTGTAAGCGGCCGGATAGCTCAGTCGGTAGAGCCGCGGAACGGTATTCCGAGGGTCCCGGGTTCGAGTCCCGGTCAGGCTGCACATTTTTCTCACCCTGTGACATTGATAATTTTCAAAATCATCAATTTTTTTACCTTAAACGGTAAAATAATGATAGAAAAATAGAAATATCATGTAACTGTGTTATGTACTTCATTTGGTGTAATTCCCCAGAGCTTAATCCGCAACGTACCGGAAAACGGTGATTAGCTAGGTTTTCGAACAGGTCAATTCGCAAATGTCAATTATTCACTATTACTTACAGCTTAATTTGAATGTTTAGTGGAGAATCAATGTATAGCAATTAGCAAATTTTACAAATCTAAAATTTCAGCATAATTAATCTTTAACTAGGTGTTTTCCACTCGCTTACCTGTGAGCCTTTCTTTACAAGTTTTTCGATTACAAATGGTGGAATTTTACAAAGGGACTTAATAATTCGGTTTCTATAAAGATTCGCCCCACTGACAATTCGCTCTAGTTTTTTTGGTGTTTTTTTTTTTTTATTATTCATTTGGAATGAAAAATTTACATGGTTTGGGTATTTTTACATACATTTTATATAGAGAGAATTAATTTAATTTGGAGGTAGAATAAGAAAAAAAGTCAGTTAAGACTGGGACAGAAAATAACCATTTTTAGTCTCAGACTTAGACTATGAACATACATCATGTAATAATAAGCAGGGTATTTCAAATTTGAAAGACCCAGGTTATATTAATAACTAATAATTACTTATCTTATTTGTATACCTTTATTCAGCTTTAAAATTATGAGTAATGAATAAGATTGATATTATAAAATAAGTGATTATTGATAATTTATACATACTTATTTGTTACTTTTAACTCAGATAGGTTGGTATGCATTGTTGACAATGGTATTTATTTTCTAGTTACCTTCTGTTTATGTATATAAAGGTAATGTTGTCTGAAAATAAAAAATTAATAACTCAAGGTCTTAAACTTAAAATGATGTTTTATTTCAGTGCAATGTACTACAAACTGGGGAAAAAAAATCTCATCAAAGACAAAAAATATACTTCTTGCATATCACACTGGCGTGGGGGGTGCCAGATGAGTTGCGTATTATACAATGACATGCTTAGAATGACATAACTTACCATAATGAATGAAGTTGTAATTTCATGCATACACTGTTGTAAGCAAAAAGTTATATGGGTATAATGACAAATTTCCATGAAAATTGTTTTATTACGGTAAAAAATTGAGATAATGACATACGGTAGAATATGCAAGGAAATATATCTGACATTTGTTTTCAGTTCTGTTCCTCAGGAACCCCTTGGGCAGTTATTCAGCCAGCTTAGTTATGGCCCAATGGGAATGTCCCCTTTGGGCGGAATAATTTTAAATCCAAAACCGGGCCCTTTTTAAAATATTTTTAAATCTTTCTTAAAGTTATTTTGACCATGATGATCATTGCAATGGAGCAAATATACTGCAGCCAGGTTATAACGCTAGCAGATATAGCTCTAATCTCACTATGATGCACACTGTCCTTGCCTCCCCTCAAAAAAGTCGTATTTCTTGCAGATCCTTTTTTGTCATGTTTATTGATATGTGCCCTATCCACTATAACGCTTGTTCAATGTATTAAACAGTCAAAATAACGTCAGTCTGTGTGAGCGCAAGTGTGGAAGCATACACATGTTAGCAAATTATCAATAATCTGGCGTATATCGTCACCTTGGTGGAAAAACATGTAAATCGTTACACGGAGGAAAATCATCAGTAGAGCAAATCATTATTAATTAATTGAACCCTACAAATTGACAGTATCTATTGTCAGGTATTCAGTGGTCTTTGGAGACACAAGTACTATTAATAAGTTGGCCATTGTTATTTGGAATTAACAATAACTTAATTGCTTATATTAATGTGAGAGTCCTGAGTGTGATTTATGATGAATTAATGTAAAAGATGTTCCCAATAGTATCTTATTTTTCACATAGGCAAAGAAGAGTCAAACAAGTGAACAAAATCACTAGAAGATGTTTCTTGCCAAATATCTAAGCTCTAGCTCTTTGGGTTATAAGATAGAATTTTTAAAAAGTTTTTTCTTTTGGTTGCCATGGCAACCAGAGTTCTGCATGGAATTAAATTCTTTGAACACTTTTGAAAGGTGACCACCAAAAAAACATTCCTGTGAAGTTTGGATGAAATTGGTTTATGTGATGTTGTTTAAAGTAAACGTTTACAGACGCCGGACGGACAGACACCGGAGGAAAAGAGATCACAAAAGCTCACCATGTGACTTTGTGACAGGTGAGCTAAAAAGAAAAAGGAGGGAAAATTTTTCAGAACATGATTCAATAATATTGATATTGATCACTTTTAAAATGCATTTTTTTTTAAAATTAAATTCAATCTGGGATGTACTATAACGTATCGTATGTTCCAGATTCAATCAAAAATTATAATTTTACAATGAAATTTCTTTTCTAACAATTTCATTGCTATCACACCACGTATGTTTTGATTCAATGTTTTACCTACCTAGAATATACTACAAGTATATAGTCTTCATCAGATGTTCAAACGTCTCTAACGGTTTTCAAAATCAAAGACAGACTATTTTCGTGAAGATTTGATTCCCCTTATCATGCATTCGCATGTAAAAAAAATACAGAAAAAATCATCGCTTTCAAATCATTGGATAACTCCTGAATGTTCTCTGTGTGACCATCAGGTTTTATTTGGTTTGTTTTTAGACAAAAATGTTTCTTTTTTCATATATTAAGATAAACAGTACTTAAGCATACATGTATTTCCAAAACTAGATAAATTATAGTTTATTTCATTATCTTGAGCATATAATTAATATAATTAAATTACACTCTATTAATATGACCCAGACATGATATTTTATTTCTCAAAAGCTTTTACTTTTGCTGTACTTTTATAGTTCAAAAACAAATTCTTATTGACCAATTTAACCTGAACTTTATTTTTCTTCGGTTACCTTTTGACAACGTCTAAAATTAAAATGATTCTTTCTTTTGTATGGAAGTAAAATTCCACTTTGCCTTTTATGACATTTTTTTCACATGATTAGCTTCTTTCATCAGATAACAACCATCTCACATGCTCTAAAACCATTATTTAGATCTTATTAACAATCAAATTTCCCTTTCAGAAGAAGTAATATTTTAATATTTCTGAGACAGAATGTGCCTTCAAAACTATTTACATAGTCAAGTATTGTAATCCAAATTACAAAACACAAAAATTTAGGCTTGCATTCGCTTTAATTACAATAAAAGAAAACGATTCACGATTACCAATTACAAATCACCATTGCACCATCCCTGTTTGTATTTCTGATAAACATTTCTAGATATACATGTATATGTCTCTCTTTCATTGTATGATTTTTTTTACAATTATATGGAGGATATTAAACGAGTGTAGGTTCAATACTAAATTTATTGAACAAGTTGAATAAAATCATAAATTTGTTTTTGAATGAGATCAATAGATTTTGTTTTAAATCTACTTAAGAAATAATATATCCCAAACTGTGATTTTATCGCTCAATAACATCACTGTTTGGAGTTCGGATGCGAGGAAATATATCACGAGGGCGTAGCCCGAGTGATATAATGATGCGCATCCGAACGACAAACAGTGAAGTTATCCAGCGATAAAATCACCGATTTGGATATATTATTTCGATTCTAACACGACATAAACCAATAAATGCTGTCATACCTGCTATAAAGCAAAATTGCGCCTGATTTGTTTCCGTACTTATTGTCAGCGCGTCGGATTTTATAGTGGTTACGTCACATGTATAATGATTACGTCACATGTCTAAATATAGAACGTCAAACAGTGACTCTATTGCATAATAACACACACTTTCGGTTCCTCTATGTTCAATAGGGGAAAATGCGGGTCGTGTTAGAATTGAATATAACATTCTAATCTATTTATTACATATATATAAAATAGGAAGATAAACTATTAAAAATTGTCATTTTACATTTAAACGCTTATAGTGTAACGCTCACAACACTTTATTCATCTTTAGCACATATGACCACAAGTTAAAGTGTTATTTTACTAGTGTAATTACGTTTATTAAATGGCTCTATCACACTCCACGGTTTATGTGATAAAATGAATTTTTGTTCAACTGATTACTGAATTCATTTTAAACACAGGGGAAATCTACCTATTGTCTATAGCAGACAGAAGCTAAATTTGGACCCAAAATAAGTCATTAAAAACACAAAAGCTGTCTATATAGTTTATTAAAAAGAAGGTTGACACTTATCACAAACAACAGCATTTAGCAACACTAAGGGAAAAGCTGTAAATATACACGAAAAAGGATTTATAAAACAAATTATCAGCAAACAATAAAAGTGAAAACAATTTTTGTAAGTTTAAGCACATTTATCCAAAAACTGGATGTTTTTATACTATAACAATGGACTGTCTAGCAATGACTGTCTGTGTGCGAACTTTTAACCATGAACTGCCTGTTTGAAGTCTTAACCATGGTCTGTTTGTTTTTAAACTTTAACCATTGCCTATCTGTTTTTAAAGGTCTTTTTTTAACTTTAACTATGGCCTGTCTTTTTTTTAATTTTAACAATTGCCTGTTGTTTTTTTTTTAACTTTAACCATGGCCTGTCTGTTTTTTAACTTTAACCATGACCTGCCTTTTTTAAATTTTAACCATTGCCTGTTTTTTTTTTTTTAACTTTAACCATGGCCTGTAAGTTTTTTAACTTTAACCATGGCCTGTCTTTTAATGTTAACCATGGCCTGTCAGTTTTTAAACTTTTACCATGGCCTGTCCGTTTTTTAACTTTAACCATGATCTGCCTTTTTTAAATTTTAACCATTGCCTGTTTGTTTTTTTAACTTTAACCATGGCCTGTAAGTTTTTTTTAAACTTTAACCATGGCCTGTCTTTTTTTAAACTTAACCATGGCCTGTCTTTTAACTTTAACCATGCCTGTCAGTTTTTAAACTTTGACCATGACCTGTCTGTTTTTTAACTTTAACCATGACCTGCCTGTTTTTAACCTTAACCACATGTGGCCTGTTTGTTTTTAATCTTTAACCATGAACTGTCTGTTTTTAAACTTAAACCATGGCTGTCTGTTTTTTAATTTTAATCATGAACTGCCTGTTTTTAGACTTTAACCATTAACAGCCTGTTTTTAGACTTTAACCATGGACTGCCTCTTTTTAAACTTTAACCATGAACTGCCTCTTTTTCAACCTTTAGCCATGAACTGCTTAACAATGGACTACCTGTGTATGAACTCAGACCAGCTGCCTGTTTTTAACCTTATTCATGGAATAACTATTTTTAAACTTCCTATTTTCCTTCCACATACATGTATGATGCACTTAACAGTAAGTTGAATTACTTTGTGCTATTAAAAACAATCTGTTTTTACAACCATTTCGGAGAAAACTTAAAGTCCAATTTTCCTTCTTTCGGTATAAAGTCCACCTTTACATCTATTGCACTACTTTCAGAACTACACCTTGTTTTCTGGTTGTTATAAAACAAATGGACACCTTGTTTTGAATGATAGTCCCATACAACTTTTTCTCCAATTTTGATTGGCTGTTTTGGTCCTGTTGTGATCACATGACTATTTCCAAAATCAAACTCCACCCACATGGCAACGCCATTGCATGGTTCTTTGCTGTAAAATATTAACAAATATCATAACAAATACCATTAAGCTTTATGAGCATGTAAACAAAACCTGTTTGAGAGACCCATGGCAATACCCAAGAATATTCTCAATTTAAGTATTGTATTACACTCAAATTATTCTTGAATAGTTATGAATTTTCATTGTTTAAACATTATTTATTTAAGCTTGTTTTGAGAATAGAGCTTGAACCTACTTTTAAGTTCAATTCCTGAAACTTACAAGTGACGCTTTTAGTTTAAATTTGATTGCGAAAACAAGTTCATGTAACTTATATCAATAGTTCGCTTCCTGGAATTAACCAGTACTGGTGTCATATGAAGAAACATGGTCGTGACCCAAGTAGGGCTTAAACCATGATCCCTTGGTTGATAGGCAGACACCTTAACCACAAGGCCACTGCTCCCCAGTAACGCTTATGCATTAGTGCCTGTAATGGTTGCATGTCATTCGCTTTTTTGGCAACCAAGAGATCTAAATAAATTTGTCAAAAAGCTAAAAATTTGTCCAAAGGACATGGCTTTCTGGACATTTAACTGTTTGGTCAGTCTAAGGATGGACATTGGGAAAAACTACACGCACCCCACCACTAAGCCATGGCATAAAAAACAGACAAGAAAGAATGTTTTAGTATCAAACAAAACTAACCTTGCAACATTAAGACAAATACACCTGTCTTCAGGTAATGTGTCAGTCATTGACTTAGTAAAGTCTATGTTTAACACTTGTTGCTGATTACCGGCTGCTGTACAAGGATACTCCCACAGTGGATGCGGTTCTACATTCTCATCTACTTCCTCTGAGCTTTTCTGAAATAAATAAACAGTCATTTGCATAAACAAACAGTCATGTGCATAAACAAAAGTCATGTGCATTAACAAACAGTCATGTGCAAAACAAACAGTCATGTGCAAAACAGTCATGTGCAAACAAACAGTCATGTGCTTAAACAAACAGTCATGTGCATAAACAAACAGTCATGTGCCTAAACAAACCAGTCATGTACATAAACAAACAGTCATGTGCATAAACAAACAGTCATGTGCAGTCTTTATTACAAATGTACATGTATTGATACTTTTATCACCAAGGCAACAAAAGCTGTGAGATTTATCTTTAAAATAATCTTTTTAGCCAATTCTCTCTAACTTTTTATAATACTACAGTAAACTTCACAAAAATTTTTGGCCCGAATTTTGCCCTTCTTTATTTAATATAAAAAATTACGGTTACAGCGAACACGGTTATAAGGAATTATCGCTTATAAGGAACTAATTTTTTAGTCCCAATGCCATTAAAAGTACAGAAAAATACACTTTTATAACGAACTCCAAAATCGGCTGTCCGTAAACAGATCAGACATTTTCTACTTTCGTTTTCATCGACACAGATTAAAACTTGGCCGAATGTACCGTTTATTGTTGTATGCAGTTCAACACAGTTATGAAAATAAATTTGTATAGCAATACGTAATAGGTATTTTTAGCATGAGTTCTTGTCACCAAAATAAAACGATTATCCAATTTATCCTATTACTTTTTTTCTTTAAAATTATTGCCCGAGGAAAATAATTATGATTATTTGCAATCGGTTTTCAACATAAAAACGCATGCTATTTCTTGAGTAAAATCCATTGAAAAGTACGCTTGGTTGAATAAAAAGAGATCTGCATCTATCTTGAGTAAAAGTCACCCATAAAATATATATCGAAAGCTTGTTTATTCTTTATAATGGAAAGAAAACGAAAAGCGCTGAGTTTAGAAACAAAATATGATATTTTACGAGAAATTGAAAAAGGCAGGAAAACTAAGACTGAAATAGCAAAGGATTTTCAAATTCCAAAAAGTACACTCTCGGGTATTGTGTCTAAAAAGGAAATCATTCTACAGGAGTATCAAACGTCAACATCCTCACCGAAACGGAAGCGACATCGTTCCGGAAAATACGATGATGTGGACTCGGCACTTTTTGAGTGGTTTAAAGGTGCCAGAGCCAGTAGCATGCCAATCAGCGGCATTATTCTTCAAAAGAAAGCTGATGACCTCGCTAAAAGTCTCGGCCATATGGACTTCAGGTATGTGAATTTCTTATTTATTTTGTCTTAGTGAAGTGATAAAAATGAAAAAAAAAAAATTAATTCAGAATCAGTTAATTATAAAGTAAAAATACACAATTCTAATTAGCATGCGTTTTGGAATTTTAAAATCCCTTGCTATTTCAGTTGTACGGGCTAAAATAGACATATTTAATGGAAATGTATTCGTTTGTTATTTTTATTTTAAGTGCTTCGGGAAGCTGGGTAGAACGTTTCAAGGGAAGGCACAACATTGTTTCTCGTGCTATAAGTGGAGAGAGCGGAATCGTTGATTCATCGGTGACTGATGAATGGAAGGAGCGAACTTTGCCTGCCCTGCTGAAAGATTTCTCCCCTAAAAACATATTTAATGCTGATGAAACGGGGCTCTTCTACAAACTTATGCCATCATACTCTCTTAATGTCCGTGGTGAAACCTGCACTGGAGGAAAAAAAGGCAAAGAAAGATTAACGTTCTTAGTTGCTTGCAACATGGATGGATCGGAGAAGCTTAAACTCGTTGTTATTGGCCGATTTGCTAATCCCAGATGTTTTAAAGGTGTGAAGTCCTTACCTGTGACTTACCTTGCCAATAAACGGGCCTGGATGACAGGGAAACTTTTCTCTGACTGGGTGCTACAACTTGACAGAAAGTTTTCATCTCAATCGAGAAAGGTGAGATTTGCATTATATTTATAATAAGTTAATAAATCAACTCGTTTCAGTACGATCAATTTATTATAAAAGAATGACAACTTGTAAATTTAATTAATACAATGTATCTTAGCATATTGTGCTTTATATAAATTAAGCAACAGTAATGAGGATATTAGTTCAAGCCATTATGGAAAAGCTTTTGAAAAAATGTTTTAATCTGCTTTACAGTATTTTTTTCGGTATTAATAACACGTTATACTATTTGAATTCGATATATTTTTTACAGGTATTACTGATTGTGGACAACTGTGCTGCTCATCCTAAATTGACTGGGTTAAAGTCGATAACTTTGGCTTTTTTTCCGCCGAACACCACATCGGTTTTACAACCTTGTGACCAGGGCATTATTTACAACTTCAAATGTAAATACAGACAGCGTATGGTGGAACATATCATTGATGTAAGCAAATTGTAAACACCTATAACAATGCATCAATCAGTGCACTACAAAGCCTGTCTCCAGGAGGTGCGAATATCTTGGCAAACAATGTATAGAAATCGTATCATTATTAATGACCTTTTCAACAGATATTAAACACTGCTATTTTTTGACATCTATTAATTGACAAATACAAACTGATACAAATTTTTTTAAGTAAAGTTTGTTTACATCTAAAAGAAATTACTCTCTATTTATATTGGTAATACAGTATCTTATTTCATACAGCTACATAAAATATCTTTAAATGGGAACAATGAAAACATATCTCATAATAGCGCTTTCTTTTACTTCAGTCATACGATAGAAAGAAAGAGCCGGGCATCAACGTGCTTGTAGCCATAAGATACGCATTTGCAGCATGGAGAGATGTTTCACCAACTGTTATTATGAAATGCTTTAGAAAATCTGGGTTCATCGCAGAAGAGGAAACCATGGACGATGATGACGACATGCCACTCGCACAAATGATAGAAAATATGAGAGATGAAATTCCCCTTGCTCGTCTGCGGACAATAACAAACACAGACACTTCATTTAATGATATCTTGCCTGCAGAGGAAAATGAAACAATAACTGAGGCAAAAAATGATTCTGATATTGTAGCTGATATATTAGGAACAAATAATGACGATGACTGTCAATCATCCGAAGACGAGAGCTATTTAGATGATCTGCCGGTTGTGTCAAAAAATGAAGCTATTGATTGTTTGCACAAGATTAGAACATACTTTGAGTCCAATGCACATGTTGAAGAAACAGTTTTTAAAAAAATATTGGATATTGAATTTAACTTGAAGAGTTGTAAACATTCCCAAACTAAAATTAGCGACTTCTTCTCAGCAAAGTGATTTTTTGTGCATGATATTCTATTGTTAATAAATAACAATATTGCATATATGGTACATATAATATAATTATGTTATAAATATATTTATATATAAAAATATATTAAAAAGAAACAACACTGCAATTATTCCTTTTTTCTTTATTGAAACAATATAAGGGAGACAACAATGACGAACCAAGAGTTATTTCTCTTAATCAAATGCTCTTCAAAATGGAGGATAATGGTAAACAATTAGTTCGTTATATGTAAAACTGTTCGCTATAAAAACTTCTGATATAAGGAACTAATTCGCTATATGCTTACAAGGAACTCCGGATATAAGGAACATATTTTGAATGTCCCGATGAGTTCGCTATAAGCGGAGTTTACTGTTTACTGTATAAGGATCTTACATCGGCTGCCACTACAGCAAAGAATATCTAGCTAGAGTAACTGTTTACAGCAGTAACAGGTTTTTCTAGCACCAGCATAATCCTATCTGATATGCAAGAATTCTATTTCTGTCACCAAAGGAACAAAATTTGTTACTTTTATTTTAAAAATGATTTTTCTAGCTGAGTATCTTTTACTCACTCTCAAACAAGAAGCATTTAATTTAATTTTATTATTGTGAAAACATATAAGTAGCTATAGAAAGCTTACTCTGAAATTGTTATAATTTCAGTTAAGAAAGATTTGCATGCATTTATCCATCTATGAAAAACTAGAATTTACCTGAATAATCTTATCAAATTCTTGTATGTTAAAGCCCTCACAAATTCCAACATCTGCCCGGATCTTCCATAAATCTACATAATTTACAGCTATGGCATATATTGTCATTTTCCCTGGTAACACTTTACATTGGTCTGACAAATGGTTCCCGAACTGCTGACTTAGGTACCAGTAACACATATTATCCCATGGAAGAAGAGATGATTGAAATACTGGTTCCCCTATTATAATGTCAATCTGAAATGAAAAGAATAGGTATGCCAGGTACCAAAAACACAAATTATCTCTTGAAAGAAGATAAGATTGAAATACTGGTTCCCCTATATGTCAATATGAATTCTAACACTTACGTGATTTTGTCACTATAGACAAAGAAGGAAAAACACTGGTGTTAAACTGCCAATAAACACCTGTTAGGGACTACTTGTATATGCGCTGTTATGTTTTCACCCTCGATTGTATAGTTTACAAAGCATTTTAAAGCAACAATTAAAAGCATTTTTATTTAAATTTTCATTTCGTATAATGTTTTCTCTTCATACAATACCGAAATAATATCTCACATACACTAACGCCACATATTAGATCCATATCAGCTAATAAATATTTTGACAACACGGCGCCAATCCGTAAGCAGCGTAATGACGTCATCCTAAGTAAACAACTCATTCATAAACAAGCTGACGTTATTTCATACATACAAGAATGATAAATGCGGCACTGATGTAAACACAATACGACGTAAGTTTTTAATGTTGAAAACTTGATAAAATAACGTGTTTTTTCTTATTATTTCTTTTGTTTAATAATTTCTCTATCTTCGCAACAGTAGGATGCGAAAATCGAACAGCGTTATACGAAAATCGGCACCGGAAGTTATTTCCGCTTGAAAAATAACATTAGTGATTTTCCTTATTTCATCGTGTTAGAATCGAAATAAGATCGGCCTGAGAGGTGTATATCGGCTATTTAACACCGGTTTTGTCGTTTTGATACGACAAAATTAACCACTCAGGCCTACGGCCTTCGTGGTCAATTCCTACGCATCAAAACTCCAAACCGGTGTTAAATAGCCGATATACACCTCTCAGGCCGATGTTATTTCTTAAATGAAAAGAACAGATAACAGTCAAATACCAGAAACAGACTATCCAAAGGCATAATAGAAGATTGAACGAATCATGTACATGTATCATAACACTTACCAACAATATCCTTATACAATTCTTTTGTGGTTTTTTTTCATGTATGATACTGAATACTATCAACATAATTATTTATTATATTATTACAGATCTTCCATTACAGAACAATTCATTTCAAGTTATAAATGTATTGACTTTCACTTATATACTTACCATATAATTTTGGATGGGCATAATGCCACTTAACCCATTACTTCATATACACGCCTTTTAACGCCTTTTTCACCCCCCCCCCCTTTTGTTGTCTCAAATGATGAAAAAATGCCTTATTTAGGCCCCAAACACTTGTTTTTGTTTGAGAAATGGTGTTAAAAAAAGTGACCTCTTTTTCGGCGCGGCCCCCCAACCAAAAGATACATCAGGGGGTTGCCAGAAGGGGGATGTGCCCCCTTCTGTTTTGGGGGTTTGAAGGGGGGCGGAGTCCCCCTCATCGCCAAGAAAAATTTTGGACTTGTGAGAGGCTGTAAATGACCCCAGATTGATCATAAGGTAACGTGTAACCAACGCTGAAAAGCATTTGACTCTATCTCAATCCATTGAGAAAGTGCAGCACTTTGAAATCAATTTTGATGGAAAAAATCAACTCAAAATAGTGATTTTTGGCAATTTTGAGATGTCCCCTCGTTGCCATGGTAACAGAAAATTAAGCCTGAGCATGTTGTTTCAAGTGCAATGGTCCAGTCAACATTTGTGCCAAGTTTGATTAGTGTTGAAGCAGTTTTTATAGTATTATAGCAATTTGAACTTGTAACGGGAGACTTTTCAATGAAAACAGCCATTTTTCACAAAATGCTCATGAAGTAATGGGTTAATGAAAAAAATAAAAAAATCTACAAAACAACAATTTTTCTTCAAATTTATATGACAGGCCATGTTTAAACATGAAAAAACGCGATTTAGGGTAATTTCAAGTATTTTCATCATTTTCAGTTAAAACCCATTACTTCATATACATGCCTTTTAACGCCTTTTTCACCCCCCCCCCCCTTTTGTTGTCTCAAATGATGAAAAAATGCCTTATTTAGGCCCCAAACACTTGTTTTTGTTTGAGAAATGGTGTTAAAAAAAGTGACCTCTTTTTCGGCGCGGCCCCCCAACCAAAAGATACATCAGGGGGTTGCCAGAAGGGGGATGTGCCCCCTTCTGTTTTGGGGTTTGAAGGGGGGCGGAGTCCCCCTCATCGCCAAGAAAAATTTTGGACTTGTGAGAGGCTGTAAATGACCCCAGATTGATCATAAGGTAACGTGTAACCAACGCTGAAAAGCATTTGACTCTATCTCAATCCATTGAGAAAGTGCAGCACTTTGAAATCAATTTTGATGGAAAAAATCAACTCAAAATAGTGATTTTTGGCAATTTTGAGATGTCCCCTCGTTGCCATGGTAACAGAAAATTTAAGCCTGAGCATGTTGTTTCAAGTGCAATGGTCCAGTCAACATTTGTGCCAAGTTTGATTAGTGTTGAAGCAGTTTTTATAGTATTATAGCAATTTGAACTTGTAACGGGAGACTTTTCAATGAAAACAGCCATTTTTCACAAAATGCTCATGAAGTAATGGGTTAAATATGAAATACACCTATCAATATTGTCATTTCATCGGGTTTTTTTTGGTTTTTTGCCTTATTTTATAGCTGAAATTCGGTCATATTCCCCATTGAAAATAGTATATTATTTTCCCAATCCAAAGGAAAAAATTCCCAATTGAATGTTAAAAAATAACAAGAAATGTGTCCATAGGACACGGATGCCCCCACACGCCACTGTTCTGTCAATCTTATGACTCTAGGTCAAATATTTTTTGCACTACATGTGCCACAAGTTGAAAACTAAAAATCAACAAAGGGCCATAATTCTGTTAAATTTGGTCGCAGCAAAAATTTCTTCCTTTACTACCATCTACACATTAAGGTTGTTAATCCCTGGAAGTTTAAGCAAAATCTGCCATCCGGTTTAAGAGGAGTTGCGTTCACAAAATTTCTACATAGTATATAGTGAAAAAATCAACAAAGGGCCATAATTCTGTTAAATTTGGTTGCAGCAAAAATTCCTTTCTTTACTACCATCTACACATTTACTACCATCTACACATTAAGGTTGTTCATCCCTGGAAGTCTAAGCAAAATCTGCCATCCGGTTTAAGAGGAGTTGCATTCACAAAATTTCTACATAGTATATAGTGAAAAAATCAACAAAGGACCATAATTCTGTAAAATTTGGTCGCAGCAAAAATTCCTTCCTTTACTACCATCTACACCTGTAGGTTGTTCATCCCTGTAAGTTTAAGCAAAATCTGCCATCCGGTTTAAGAGGAGTTGCGTTCACAAAATTTCTACATAGTATATAGTGAAAAAATCAACAAAGGGCCATAATTCTCTTAAATTTGGTCGCAGCAAAAATTCTTTCCTTTACTACCATCTACACATTAAGGTTGTTCATCTCTGTAAGTTTAAGCAAAATCTGCCATCCGGTTTAAGAGGAGTTGCGTTCACAAAATTTCTACATAGTATCTAGTGAAAAAATCAACAAAGGGCCATAATTCTGTTAAATTTAGTCGCAGCAAAAATTCCTTCCTTTACTACCATCTACACATTAAGGTTGTTCATCCCTGTAAGTTTAAGCAAAATCTGCCATCCGGTTTAAGAGGAGTTGCGTTCACAAGATTTCGGGACGTACAGACGGACGGACGGACTGACGGACGGACGGACAAGTGCAACGCTATATGCTCCCACATTGTGGGGGCATAAAAATAATAACAAAATGTAAAATCCTTGAAAACAAGGCCTTCTTCACTGTTATGGTGCTTAAATGTATTAAGATGTTGTCCTAGACAGTGACTCTTTGCATTCATTTAATCACTGCATAATTTAATTCATGCATTTTTTCCCATTTTTTAACAAAACATCACTGAAATTCCCAATTCCATGGGTATGGGTCATGTTCCTGGAAAAAAAACCTGCATTTACCTTTTCTGGTATATCTGTTTCTCCTATATCTTCAGGTAATTTATCTAGAACAGTAACACTATCTTGTAGTTTGTTATGTTTTATGAACTCTTTAATCACCCGCTTACACATGTGGTTTGTTTCTATTGTGTAGACATGTTTTGCACCAAGTCGAGCGGCAATCAGTGGTAACAGACTGCCATCACTTATACACAGACAGGTGCTTTCTTCTGATATATTCTGAAAAAGGAAAAGAAATCTTTCCCATATATTCTAAAAAAGAAAAACAAAATTTTCTGATATATTCTGGAAAAGAAAAAAACTTTCTGATATATTCTGGAAAATAAACCATCTATTTCATTGAAATAATTATGATTCAGGTGGACCCTGTCAATAAGGATGGCAAAGTACACAATAGATAAAATAAGGAAAACAAGCAATAGTATTGCAAGCAATCCATAAGTCCCTTACCGGTTAGAACCCCATCAACATGCTGAAGGGCCATTGGCCATTCACTAGTGTTTCAATTTTTCTCTATTTTAAGTAAATTTGTTGGAAAAGTTCTTTAAAAGTGATCACAGGAAACAGTTTTTATGAACAGACAGACAGACGGACTGAAGGACACTCTAAAGTTAATATTTGAAACATCCCTGTTACCAAAATATAGCATTTTAAAAGCAAAATTCTTAAAGAGGAGATAACTCTTGAATTAAAGATGCAATTTCATAAAAAAAATTCAGCTCTTTTTGACTAATCACAAATATTGTTATATTTGCCATGTTTTAAGCCTATTTGTTGCCAAGGCAACTGATATTTTTTCAAAATAGGAAGAACAGATAAGACATGCATAATCTCAAGACTGCTATCTACCCATATGTCAAGTTTCATAAAAATATTTCCAGTACTTTTTGGGTTTTCACTGGATTTAGTTTATGTGTAAAATTTGCCATTTTTTCAGTCTATGTGTTATAGCAACCAGAATTTTCAACATAGGAAGAAAAGAAAAAGACGTGCATAATCTCAAGACATCCATCTACCCATATGTAAAGTTTCATAAAAATATTTCCAGTTCTTTTTGCGTTATCACTGGATCCAGTTTATGTGTAAAATTTGCCATATTTTCAACCTTTTTGTTGCCATAGCAACCAGAATTTTCATCATAGGAAGAAAAGAAAAAGACGTGCATAATTTCAAGACTGCCATCTACTCATATGTCAAGTTTCATAAAAATATTTCAAGTACTTTTTGCGTTATCGTGGGATCCAGTTTATGTGTAAAATTTGCCATATTTTCAGCCTATTTGTTGCCATAGCAACCAGAATTTTCAACATAGGAAGTAATGAAAAAGACGTGCATAATCTCCATACTGCCATCTATCCATATACCAAGTTTCATAAAAATATTTTCAGTACTTTTCAAGTTATCGCGGGATCCAGTTTTGTGGACGGACGGACGGACAGACGGACGGACAGAGGGTAAACCTAAAGTCCCCTCCGGTAAACCGGTAGGGGACTAAAAAGCTGTCATCAGGACTCTTCCATGGTTAATCAAACAATAAGCAGTGTACTCCACTTTCCAAGTGCTGAATAGTAAACTTCCTATTTTTTAGAAAAAGAGGTAATTTAGATTAAAGGTCACCTTGACCAAAAAATTGTTGTGGCAGATAGAACTTAAAAAACATACTAAGGCCATTAACAACTTCAACTCAAAGGCAAACTGTTACAATTTTTTTGTTTTTCTACATTCAAGTAAAACTATTGATCTAAGATTTCTGTTTAAGTAAAACTATTGATCTAAGATTTTTGTTTATTTGTCCCTATGCAACCTGCCCAGGTCTAAACATATACCTTTTTCAGGACGTCAATAAAGATTTTATTCCTGTCAGGATCATTAATCATGCCCATCCTTGTTCTTCCGTAGGAAATATGAGCGCCACATCTACATATAGGACGTTCCTCTGGACAATTTTCTTTTCTAAAAAAAAAAATAACAGGAATTTTTTAAGATCAAATAATTTTTTAAATCAAATATTGACAAATCTGCAGTTCATTTAAACTGAGTAAGATAGTTTCCACTATTCTTTGAAAAGTTGAGCTCAGAAGATGCAAATATGTTTAAGAATAATGAACTTACAAATAATGTTTAAAGAGCTCACTCAACCTTTCAGTTCAGAATACCTTTAACTATTCAATACTCAAATATATTTTCATATAATTATCTTGACCAAACACTGTAACTTCCTAACATGTTGTTCAACTTCCAAGTATCAAGAGGCATAAAACAGTGCACTTGACTATTATAAATACTGCAATAGGAAACAAGTGGCGTGACCGGAATACTTATAAGCCGAAGAAATGGCATGATTTTGTTAAATTCCATGACAGAGTTTTTTTCTGGACATCAGAATGATAGTCACTTACAAGTATTCAAAGCCTAAAAGCAATATCCTTACCTCAATGGGTATACAAAATAAGTGGAGTGGTACGAAAAACATAACCAAAATTTTAAGTCTAAAAAGGGGCATAACTTTGTCAAACTCCATGACAGACTTATGTCTTATTATTTGGAAGTGGGAATGATGGTCACAGACAAGTATTTAAAATTTCAGGCCAATACCTCATTGGGTATACAAAATATGCGGGGTGGTACAAAAACTTAACCTAAATTCTCAGTCGAAAAGGGGCAAAATCTTGTCAAAATCCATGACAGAGTTATAACCTCTTGTCTGAACATGGGGGTGATAGTAACTTACAAGTATTTAAAGTTTCAAAGCAATACCATATCATTAAGTGTGCTAGTCACAAGAACTTCTAGTCATTTTCTACATGTTATTAAAGAGCAACTTCTCCCTTAGTATTTGTCTAAAAAAATATATCATTTAAAAAAAAATAATTTCAATCTTACACAGTTTCCATGGCAACATCAAACCATAAACTGTACTCATCATGTTTACTTATGACCTTGACAATATCACCCTTGGCAACTGATAGCCTGCTGTATGGGTAATAGATAGCTTGCATCCAATGGTCCCTCCACTGTAAATAAAAATATTACTGTACAAACATTAGGAGAAAATATAGTTTTCCAACTTTTGAACCTAAACTCATTACCATGCACTTATGATATACAGCTTTTCCCTTAGCCCCCACTTTATTTGGTCATATTTGATAAAACACGAGTTTAAAGATTTTAATTGAATAGTGTATATACTATTTCTGCTTTACATTTTAGTATTGTATCATAAACATTTTTCATTTATCAAGTCTTTGTCAATCATAATTACAATAGTCAATCTTTTGAAATATATTACTAATTCAATTTCATCATGACAATGAGCATCAAGTCACTTTAATAATAAGATATACTTTTTATTAAAAGTCCCAAGATAAGATCATAGCAATAGCAAACAATAAGACAAGATAAAACCACCAAAGTCCCACACGAACCCACATCAGTTAGATGCAAGTGGTTTGAAGTCAATAAAGAATGATGTACATGCAACAAACCTGCATATCATTTGGTGTAGGATGGGCCCACCTTGGTGCGCAGCATAGGATAATTTCACTGTCAGGATCCATCTCCAGATCCCACCACATAAACACAGCATCTACCAACCCAGTGTTCAACATTGTACAATCTAGTATTGATGTGTTTTCAAATGGCAGTGATGTTTTTCCAGTAAAGTCAAACCTGAAAAATACATAAATTGCACACATTAGACTGACATACTTGTGCAACAGATCAGAACTATTTTACTTACCTTTTGTAAATAGCAAACTACAATTCATTCAAGTTTTACGGAACTTTTATTCAGGTTGGATTTTACATCGCACCAACACAATCAAGGTCATATGGCGACTTTCCAGCTTTACTGGTGGAGGAAGACTGCAGATGCCCCTCTTTGCGTTATTTCAGTTTTGAGTTACTATTAATACGACAAAAGCCAATAGACCTAAAAACCAAAATGCAGAAAATACTAAAAGATGCGGACAATTCTTCCATATATTATATACAAACATGTACAACACTATAACAGTTAAGAATTTTATCTTCTTTTGGACTTGGAATTTTGCTAAAACTTAATTCATTCAGATGCAAAATTTTCAGTTTGTAACAAAATACTTACATTACACATACATTGTAAATAGATATATTACACAGGAAACAAAAAATACTACTTAAATCATTCATTGCAGTTTCTTCACATAATGATATAGATTTCCTATACCTAAACACCCTCTTTGGTTCAGTAAGTACAGTGAACGTATCCATTGGCAACTGATCAAGTTGAAGGTCATGTAATGAAGGTGCTCCACCACAGTTGGAGATCTCATCAGGGGCAGTAACTCTGCTATCATTTACTACAATATCTTCAGCTTGATTCCATCTTCTAACCAGGTCAGAGGTGACTACTTGTACATAAAGATTGGCATAGGATGGGATCACTATACAGTCTTTCTGAAATAAAAAATAAATTCACTGAAATTTGCATGTCCACATTTAGCACATCTTCACATTTCCTGTGTCTATTAAACTTCACCTACCCTTTGGCAGACTAAGACACATAAAAAGTTAAAAATGTCAATACAAGAAAATTGCCATCAGAGGCAACTTCATGTATCTAAATTTCAAAATTTTAACAATCATGACTTGTATTTGTTACATTAATTGACACCCTGTAAACAAACAATATTGTATCATTTACATTTTCCCCCTTGTGGCTAAGGCGTTGCCTTTAAGGGTTGAGACATTGACTTCTAATCCCCTATGAATTAGTGGTGAGTGACAAATGACTGTTAGACCTTATGAAATTTTGCCTTGTTCCATGATCACACAAGCTACCCTAAATTACAAATCTAATGCTCTCCGCCTCCACCTAAGCAGGTGGACTTACGTGTAAATATGGCTCTAAAACTTATAAAATTATTGTCACTTTTTGTATATTTATACCTCTAACAACTCCTTGTGAGCATGAGTAAATGTTCCTATAGCCCCTTCACCAATCAGCTCTGTATCAAACACTTCTGTAACCAATATATTTGCTCTTCTAGGAAGGTCTTTACCTGTAAAATATTATTATGAAATACCACTTTGATTTTGATGAAAAACTAGCTCATCTGTGCAAGTCGTTTTTATGATTGTATGAAGGTTCTCACATGTAAAATACTTTTCTACTTGAAGATAATCTTGAATTTCCATCACTTGATTTTTACCCAAATTTTATCATATTCTCGGACATATCTCGATGGTTGGTCCACCTCCACCTAACTGACTTTCCTAGGTAACTAACTTGTTATTACCAATTTCTCTGAATGTGACCAACTACCATACTAATCCCTTTTGATATCTGAATCAGCAGCGAGACATGTGACCATAAGATTGCCTGAGATCAAATGTAACAGAGAAATTTCACCTTGTCCAACAATCGAACCAGTGACCCCTAGATTCATGCCTGTTACCTGCGATATATATTCTGTACATACTACATATAATAATATGTACAGAATATATACCATGGGTAACCAATGATATGTAGTATGGGTTCAAACCCTATCAGGGACAAGTCGTTGTTTCCTTGAGCAAGAAACTTTATACTAATTGCTCAGTACTGGTTGGTTCCAGGACTGGATTGGTGTGTCTATAAGCTGACAGCTTCCTACACAATCTTACTGAAATAAATTCTGTATAAACCAAACTTGTAAAACTAGTATCTCCATTTCTTATTTCATTGTTTCCTATCAAAATACGGTATTTCTGATATCTTAATATACCATAAAATCATCTTTAATGAATCTTACACTGGCTGCCATAATTATGTAATGGAGCATCACGCTTAAGGTTAATTGGATAAGGTAGCAACAAAGGTTTACAAATTACATGTACAGCTAATCACTTACCCTAGAGCCAGACATACCTATTATTGGTGCCAATAATGCTGTGTTTTTGTTTTGTTTTTGTTTTTTTGTTTGTTTCTTTTTTCGTGGGAGTGATACATTTTCATTTTTTCAAAAAAGCACAATTTCCTGTTAGTTGTATAAAAAATTTACAATTCATAACAGACAGTGACAGAATCATGTCATACCAAGAACACAACTCATCATTTACTTATGAGATGTAAAATGGTTGTAAAGTGCAGCCCAATCTGCGAGAAATATGCAATTATATGACAGACAAAAGTTAATTGTTGAAGTTTACATACCTTCTCCAACCACAAGATCTGTGGAACGTTTTGGAACTAGCTTAATCTTATCAGCAAACCCATTCTGCGCAATTATTTTGGAGGCACATTCAGCCATTGGTTTGAACGCCTGAAAAAAAGAATAATATTAATATGCATACCATAGAAATTAAAAGTTAGGCAAAAAAAAAAAATACATCTATAAGAAAAATGTAAAAATACAAGCTAATTTTTCCCAACTGTATAATAACCTGTATTCATTTTAATAAAGAAACAGAAAAACAGCAGTTCATGTTCATTAAATTATTATTAAATAATAGTTTTATACAGATACATAATTTACAAAACTTTATTTGCCTGATGTATAAATTTACATAATATTAACTTCAGTTAGAATTTTACATTGTTACATAAATAAAGTACATGTATACAAATGTATTTAGAGTTGATGATGTTTAAAGAGCCCTCCCATAAACATATATACATTACAACTATTAAACTGACCCTCCAGTAAAACCACATTGCATTGATCCATATAGATAGATGGCTTAGTAACAACCAAAGGATAATTTTCATCAGAGGTCCAATGAAATTCCATAGTAAATTTCATGCAAAGGTTACTAAGATAAACTTTAACATACCTCACATGCATGGACTGTGTCTGCACCAAGTTTTGCAGCCATCATAGACAATAAACCAGTCCCTGTTCCAATATCTAGTACATGTACAGCCTGGCCTTTCTGTCTCAACTTAGCAATTGCTATTTCTAGTCCTTTATAATACAACTGATTCTGTAAGGAAAGCAATAATCTTAAACAATATCATTTTACGGTCATGCTATTCATTAATTTTATTCATTTATGACACAGTGGTACAGTATCATTCAATAATTTAAGAAAATTTTAAGTTGGTCAGCCGAGTTAAGGGCCTTGTTAGAATGCTACGAAGTTTGTTTTATTTGGTTTTACGCAACACCAACACAATTTATGCCATATGGTGTGGGAACAGGAAAAGATTTTTACTAACCTCGGGTGTTACAAACTAAAAGCAACACCAGAGTCACATGGAACTAAAAGGGGAATAGATTCCAGAAAGTTTAAGTAATACAATTTGTTCATTATTTGGTACTACTTCTATTTTATGAAAAAAATCACTGAGCTTTACTGAGATTACTCACAATAAATATTAACATATGTTTAAACTACAACTATCTTATTCTTGTTTTAACAGTTTGGACAGTCTTATCAAATGCAATTTTAAAATAAACATCATTATGGCGTTGATACTTACCCTCTCAGTATCATGTAACATGTCAGCATAAGCAGATCTATAAGTAGAAAAATAAATCATGACTAGTCATTATCTTTTATTGCAATCAATGTAATGTATAATAATAGATTCGCAGTAGATTTAGACAAGAACAAGTTTGGTAAATTCACTTATGTGGCTATACCCTGGAATAGACTCCCGGGCTTAAACCAGGAGTATATATAAGGTTCCTCAGATCTGTTTTCTTAAGTGTATTATATCAATTAAATTAAATCAAGTTTTCTTCTGAAATATACATAGGGTTCTTATCTATGTTTATTACTGTTTATATCTTATACAGTAATGTACTACAAATATGGAATAAGCCCTGGGCTTTTTTTCACAGGTTGGGGAAGCAGCCCTGCCCTTAATTTTGGGGGAAATTTACATGGTATATTTGTAAAAGGGGAAGACAAAACTTGATGTAAATTCATTTTTTGCATGATTTTAAAGACTTTTTCTTTGAGGAAGCAGCCCTATAATGGACCCTGCTATAGAAGGGGGAAAAAAGCCCTGTAGCCTAATCCAGAATATAGTCTGTTTTTTTTCTTATTAAATATAAATAAAGAAATATATTTATTATAACTCATTTTTTTCATAGATCTATTTGTCTGTCTTTAGATTTTACTCCAGTGTTGTATTTTTTTTTAATTTTGGGGGAAGGGGGTTGGGTGCCCTTTAGAGGGGGAAAAATGCAAGAGAAGGGTGAACTTTATTTGTTTATTTATTTTATATTGTTTTCTTTCTGGTAGAAAAGGGGAGCAACTCTTCCAACACAAGTTTAAAAGCGTTGCTTTTTCTAAATATAAGGATCTAAAATATTGACGCGTTGCATGTTAAACTTGTTGGGACACCGGGAGTAGCTCCCCTTACCTACCTCAGTACCTGAGAATGATTTGTAAACAACCTTGCTTAACAGTAAATCTAACAGGCATAAAATATAACATTTTTCGGCAGTAAGGTGCAAAAAAAGAAAAGATATTCATTGAAGGCAAATTCAGGCTACCGTAATGATTTTTCTCACTTAATTGGGAAGAGGCCTTAGCCACTTGATTTTGGGAAAAATTATCTCTAAAATTGCTGATTTGGGAAGTAAAAAAGCAGGTTTAAATTCAGATTTTTGGGAAAACTGCGTGATTATAAAGAAAATTTCAGTTGGAAAGAGGCCTTTTATCGGAGTCGGTTTTGTATGAAGGAAAATCACTGGCGTATAGGTGGAAATTTCGGTTTTGAAGGGGGGGGGGGGAAAAACATACTATTTTGAGGGGGGAATCATGGGGCCGAATTTCGTAGAATATTTTGGTGAAAAAAAACACTGTTTAACTCCATCTACTATTTACTTGTTTTGCAATCTCCTGGAACAGACCCATTTGTTTATTACTGTTTATATGTCAGGGCATTTTTTCCTTCTATAACAGGGGCCGATGTTCGGCCCCTTCACAATTCGAAATTGCACTTTTTTTTCACAATGCGGCGGGAAAAAATTCACAATCTCAAAAGAGATTTCACAAAATATCAGGACTTCGACTTCGAATCTGTACTCCTTCTCAATTCATTGTTTACTTTCGGTAACACTTGATTTTTGCCAATTGCAAACACGTTTTAATCGAGTTAAATGTATTTGCGCATGTTTACCGGGTTGAAAATACCGGCTCAAAGCGGATTTTAGACTAGTCAGAAATTATAATCAAGCATTCATCGCGTGACATTTCCGGTTTCAATATGTCACGAAATGGGAAATACAATGCAAAACAAAAAACGCAAGAACAAAATTTCGGCATAAAAAACAAAAACTAGACAACCGGGCAGAAGTGCTACCACCAGATTCGGTTATTACAGAATCATGTCCTGTACCTTCGACCGCCATCATCGGTACAAATGATCGAATCCGATCATGGTAAAATAATGGTAAGAGCAGTTGAGAAACCTTGTCTTGTACCTTCGTCCCATGAAACGGGATCGTCACTATCGGAACAAATGACCGAATCAGATCATGGTGATAAAATAGGATAAAAAGGTGTAGAAAGGATACATACTCTCAGTCTCTGAACAGGACTACATGTATAATCAAATCATTGAAAATTTTCAAAAATGCAAAAGAAAGACACCTTAAACTTTGAAAAAGCATGTCAATCAAACAAAATAGAAGTCAATTCAAGTCTGAAAAAAAATGCAATTACTGTTTTCAATTTACAGGTTTTTTTCACAATTTCATGACGAATCGCGCTTTTTTTCACAAAATGAACAGGCCCAGGCCCCTTCACAATTTAGACAAAAAATGCCCTGTATGTCATACAGTAATATACAACAAATATGGAGTATATAAGCCTAATCCAGAATATTATAGTCTGCTTTTTTTTCTAAATATCAATAATCTAAAAAAATATATTATAACTCATTTTTTCATAGTTTTGTCTTTCTTTAGACTTAACTTCATCCACTATTTAATTGTTTACACAATATGGCATGGTAAGAGGAAAAAATCAAGAGAACCCTTGATATAGCCCGGGGTTCTATGATATCATGGTACTTAACGTTTATCAGAAAATATTTAAATATAAATTAAATATCATAAATGAATGAGATTTTTATTCCATCTTATAATTGAACCTTTTCCAGAAATGTTTGTCAAAAAAATTATTTCAAAAGAACCAATAAAAATGACATTTTTTAGAATATTTTCAATGTCTGCCATTTTGGGTATTTCAGAGGAGGTTACTACGGTATCAAGGTAATCCCAAAAAAAGCAAGAATGGAAAGATAGATGGGTCAAAACTTTCAAGTTAAGTTGTGAAAAACTTCCAACAGTTAACTTGCTATAAAATTAAAACTATATGAACAGACTATATGTCAGTATATGTGTTTATAACATATTTTAATTGACTGTGTAAAAACCATTAAGGGAAATGGTAGTCAAATATGAAGGTTTTATAAAATAGTTTTCTTGCCACAAATACATTCATTATTCACCAAATTAAATTTATTGGCAGATGAAAATGAATCTAGTGTGCAAGTTTTACAAATATTAGCATCATCATGTGTTGCTTTTACTAGCAGTCACAGAAAATTTAAATACCTTGATATCATAGAACCCTTGATATCATAGGAACCGAGTATAATTTGCATGGATGAAGGAGATAAACGGAAAAAGGGGCGTGTGAAATGCTGCATTCTGGCAAATCAACAACATGTAAAATGAAGGTAACTAGGTTTCTACAGGCAATACGTTTAATTTACATCTGCGTGCTTCAGCAAAATAAACAACTAAATAAAGGAACACAAAACTATTATCATTTCGATATTTCCGTATAAATTTCAACTGTACAATATCCGAACACTAGTACAGTTACCTAGCAATCTCTTGTTTGTAATCATAGTCGTCTTCCCTGAAATCCCATTCCATTTTCCCTGATATCCGATTAATCTTAGACACAAAAGTGCTCATTCTCAATCTTCTTGAACGAAAGATGTGTCTACAATTATTGATCATTGATAAACATATGCAATTTTCATCACATGGGCGCAGCCATTTTAAGGTTAAACACCCCTAAATATACAAAGGTTCAACGGTACTAAACGCAGATTTTCTATCATTCCGTTAGTTTTACATATGCCGAAATTCCATATGGCATTGGGGTGCCAGATGAGTCACGCGCTATACAATAGCACGTTTAGGAAGACACAATGAAGTTATAATTTCATACGTTGTTGTAAGAAAGTAGTTACGGGTATAATAATATAATTTTCCTTTTTTAGTTTTATAAAGGTAAACAATTTAAAATATGATGGGATAAGGTTATATGGATATGCAAGAAAAATATCTAACATGTGTTTTGGCTCGGGACGGATATACATTGTTTAAAACAAATGCCATCGACCCTAAACACATACGATTGTGCCATAAGTCATATTGCAATATTTATATATATGTGCAGATAAAATTAATTAATTAATTGAGTCCATCACAATAAACAAAATAAACAATAATAATAACAAAAATAATAATAAGAAGAAGATATGAAACACCATATTGTTCGTATTTAATGTTAATAGTGATCAAGGTGATTTTCAAAACAATAGTTGCAAATCTGTTTTTTGAAAATGTTTATTTAAATACCAATCGATTTCAACATTACGTTTATGGTATGAACAGCAGACTTATGCACAGTTGCCTGAAACTTTTGATATATAGCAAGTGTCTCAATTATTTGCAAAAGAATGATGAAAAGCCCGACGATGACCCCAAATACTACCAAAAGCAAAAGGCCATCAATAAAGTGTTAAGTACATGTATTACCAAATATGAAGACACTGGTCAATAAAAACAATAAAAATGTGCGAAAATCTACATTAAGCACTAGTTTCTTTGACCTTCAAACGTGTGATTCCTGAGAGTATTGAAAGTTAAAAGCTTGCCCAAGGTATGTATAAACATAAAAAAAACGTCATCCCTAAAGAACGCCCAAAACACCAGTCAATAAATGCTGTATTAGAAAAGGTTTCAAAAGATCTGGTTTGCGAGTAGTTTATACAGAATTTATTTTAGAAAGCTATAAAATATTGAAACACTCTCGAATTAGTTCCTGGACCCAACTGGTACTCAGCATTGAGTGTATAATTTCTTGCTTAAGGAAACAACTGTTTGCCCTGATAGGGCCCTGAGAGGGCTTAAACACACGCGGTCATCAACTGTTAACCACTGGCCTCTGGTTAAAATCTGTTTTAACACTGGTATCATTGAATTAACAAGTTTATGTTTTAACTCTACTGTAAATCAGGGGACCTGAAAACAAATATCAAAGTCATAGATCAATCTTTAAAGGCTGTTAAAGCAAAATGTAAAAAAAACACATTGTTTTCGCACTGGGGACAAAGACCATTAACCTATTGACCCAAAACTCCATCCAAAGGTAGTCAAATGTTTCAATACCGTGTACAATAACGTTACTTAATTAATTCATTTAGTTGTTCAAGGAGCTTAAACGGCTATATGAGCAAAAGTCTAAATATTTAGCATCATTGGCTTTGACTTCAGTGACCCTAAAGTTAGAAAACTTTTCAAGGCAACTGTCAAATATGGAAGAAAATGGTCAATAAATAAAATTGCAAGAGGAATCTTTAGAAATATCCAACTTGCATGAACAGGTTAACCAAACAAGGTCCTATTTTTCAAAGTGCAAAAAGGGCAATAGATGCAATAGTTATGTAACTAGCAAATATCATGTACATTGCTATTGATAAGTAAGTTTGTTTGTTTTTGTTTGTTTTTTGGGTTTTACGTCACATCGACACAGTATAGGTCATATCGCGACGTTCCAGCTTTACTGGTGGAGGAAGACCTCATGTGCCTTTCCGTGCATTATTTCAGGCACGAACGGGCACCTGAGTAGAACCACCGACGTTCCGTAAGCTAGCTGGATAGCTTCCTCACATGAAAGAATCCAAAGTCCCTGTCGGGATTCGAACCCACAGCGGTGAGGGGCAAGTGGTATAAGTAAGTTTGTGTGTGGTATTAAACTATTGGCAGAGATTAGATTAAAGACATTTACAGATTGACGGATTAGCACTTTAAATCAACATTTTGTTAGATATTCAGGAAATTTGCTTAGATATTTATAATTATGTGGCTCTTTATTTTTTTTGCTTTCAATTGGGCTAGATATATTTATAGTCCTTGAACGTTAATGAGTCAATATAACTAACAATAAAAAAATCATTATAGATAAACTATATTTAGGCCAGTACCTCCATATCTTATTTAGTTTGTTCAAATAAAGAAGACAGTGTGGTTACCACTACCGTTCATGAACAGGCTCAGTCAAACCGAGCAGTCAACATTTCCAATTTTGCCGCGTTGGGTTTCCTTTCGGGATTTTATTTTTCTCTATTTGGTTATTTGAGGAGATTTTGTTAAATAATAGTATTTATTATAAGAGAATCACTTTCTTAAATGTATTTATTTTTAAATTAGGTGTTATTTGAAATACAGTTTTATTAGAGCGGATACTAAACTGGAATTTCTACAATCTATTAAGTATCTTGGTGTCCATATAAGAAGTAACTTGCACTGGGGAAAACATGTGGAAGAAATCTGTAACAAAGCATACAAAACTCTGGGACTTTTGAAAAGAAATCTATCAACTTGCCCGCTAGAAGTTAAATTACAAGCATATAAAGGACTTATTAGACCAGTCTTAGAAAATTGTAGTGCAGCTTGGGACCCACATCAACTTTATCTACAAGAAAAACTAGAAAGTGTTCAAAAGAGAGCAGTTAGATTTATAACATCAAATTATAATTACGAACCTGGTACTATGACAACCCTTTTGAAAGAACTAAATCTACCATCCCTTAAGGAACGAAGACAACAAAATAGACTCATATTAATGAATAAAGGTGTAAACAAACAAGCACATATAAATATAAATATTTTACAACGTAGTAAAAGATCTACCAAGAACCAACATAGTCAACATTTCTTACGTATCCAGTCGCGTACTGATGTGTTAAAGTATAGTTTTTTTCCCAAATACTGTGAAAGAATGGAACTCTCTACCTCCAGACCTTTTGATAAATAATGTAAACACCCTTAAGGACACATCCAGTTCATTCGCAAAAATCATTAGAGAGGGTATCATGTTACCCTAAGCCGCTTGATAATTGCAAAGGCCGGTGTAAATAATGTCTTTGACGTCACACCGTATACAGATCAAGATCAAGATCAAGACTAAAATACTTGTTCCCGGTGTACAACAGTTTATATTTATATTCTGTCAAGTATATAGACAAGTTTCATGACAGACATGGATAAATTGAAAAGGCAATAAAGAATTGTAAAACAATACACGGTCAAACCTTCGAACCAAGGTCACCCAAAAGAGATACTGAACATGTCCCTTATGCACGACTGTTCTTTTGGATGTTATACTGTTCCATCTTATTAATGCAGGGTTTTTCGAAAATGGCCTTTATTAACAGGGTGGTGTTCATTTTAAGGTAGTCTTTAACACAGGTTTGGCTGTATCAAGATCTCTCCAATCTTGTGTTTCTGTGACAAATAAAAGAATAAATAAAGATCTGCATTTTATGATTTGCTGATTCCGAAATAATCAACACAGCTCTGAGAAAAAAAGAAGAAAAAAGGGAAAAAAGAAAAAAAGACCAAGAAAACTTCATATCCATATACATGTATCTAATTTGTTACCTTAATTGGCTCTGAATTTCTTGACCATTTCAATTGAATACAAAACTTAGTATGAAAGCGCTTTATATCGGGTGATTAGTGCACAATACATGATTTATGTCATGTGAAAGTTTTTACTGTACTGTACTGAAAATCATAATCACTTATGATAAGAACAACTTACATTTTTAGAACAAAATAGCGCAAAGAAATACGTTTTATCTCAAATTCACATTTAGTACTGTTATACCTAGTTGCTATAATTTTACGACAATAACATTACCGTAAAGTGTTATGTACAGCGGCAGGTTCGAACGTGCATTTACTGTAATTATTTGAAGATTATTTTGTTTTATTTCATTTAAATGCTCAATTACTTCTCTAGCATTGTATTGTTTCGTCATATCTATATATTGCAAGATAGAGAGGCAGATAAAACGACTGTCATAACTTTGAATCGTATACAAAATATTTAAAGTACAGTAGTTTTCGGATATGCACGATTTGTGTATATTTGTGCATATTTTAACCAAATAATAATCTATTTAATGCATTTTCGAAAAGAAACAATTCCATTTTTACAGTTTCATTAACAATAATATTGGTTGACAGTTATCACACACCACTTTTGCCTCCACTAGAATTGTATACACCCACTTATGTTTAATTGATCCACATTGACAAGAGAATTCAAGAATAAGAAACACTTAGAATTTGTTCTCTGCAAAATCCATGTTTTCTAATCCTAACTAACCATAATACTAACCCTAGAAGTAATCTGACACAGAATATGACTGATTTTGTAAAGAAACACAATCTGCGAAATAAGGCACAGTATGCCCAATGGCCGAGGCGTGTAAAATTCCATTCTGGCCTGCAAAAGTCCAAAGATCTTGAGCCCAATGGGCGTTTAAATTTCATTCAAATGATGTTTAAGTTTCAATATTTTTAAAAGTCCAAAGATCTTAAGCCCAACGGGCGTTTAAATTTTATTCAAATGATGTTTAAGTTTCAATATTTCAGAAATTGTTCTGTAATATGTCATCAGTCTATGTACATCAAGTAAGATTTACGAAATACATCATTCAATTATGTATAATCTGTATTTATCTTCTTCAACGATTAGTTAGCATAAATAATTATGGACAATGCTCAAGAATAATCGTAAATGTTTGCTGGTTAAAGAGCAAGTTATTGTAAATTTCTGTTAAAATACATTTATTTATTTATTTTTTATTTATTTTTTTTTTAACCGCCTCCGTGGTCGAGGGGTTAGAGTCGATGACTTCTTATCCATTTACCTCTCTGGCGTGGGTTCGATCCCCGGGAGATGCTTTGGTAGTTTAGCGCGGAGGAAGGTAGTCTAGTACTGGTGTAACTCTCCAGGAACGATGGTTAGGAAACTACCCGCCTATATGACTGAAATACTGTTGGGAAAAGGCGTAAAATGAAACAAACAAACAAACATTTAATTTTAGATTGACCTGTTTAGATTTGTAAACAACAAACATGAATCAGCTACATTACACCTACATTAAATGTCTGAAGCAAAACCGGGAGTTAAACTGTGGGGGTTGTGTTAAATTAGGGAATGTGTTCATTATATGCAACATATGCTTTGTTGATATTTGTTTTCATATTTTAAAGTTTCCAAGTAATGGAATATCAAATTTTGTTAACCGATACTCGTTGCCATCCCTATTTAAAAGTAGATTGACAAGTAATGTTGAAAAGTCTATATAAAGAACAGAAAAAGAGAATTTTATTGAAAAATGGCTGACTGATTTTCCTTGCATTTGTGCCTAAATTGAACCTTGTTGATGTGAATAAAACATAAAATAAACTGTTGTCTTTATTTTGCACAGATACCTTATCCTTATAATTTAGAACTAGATGTCCTCATTCTAGTTAAATGCCAAAATTTTCAGAATCTTAAACTTTTGTCTTTATTAACAAAATAAAGAGCCCATTTCATGGTACATCAATTTGAAATAAATGGCAAAGTCTGAGTATTTAATATTTAGGTTTAACCTTTACACTGTATTTGTTAAAGCTTTCAGTCCAAAAAATACACAATAATAGGCAGGATTGTGAACACCACATTGTTCTGTCTTCATATAAAGATTTCACAAGATTTAGTAAAAACGGTTAGAATTTAGCAATATTTTCTACTTGCAAATATTTGCAAGTAATCAAATGTTTAACTGGTAATATGAGGTAGTCAACTGGCAATTTCATAATAGCGTATCTTTTTTTATTATTATACACATGGACTCTGATGAAACAACATGGATGCTCTAACAAATAGTGTTTACCTGTTATAAATAGTCCATTTAAATATATTCACAGAAAAAATAAATAGAGCAACCAAAAATTGATTTTTAAGTTTTTAAAGTAAACGTCATCAGTGACTGCATCTGGCACAGTAACATCATCATTTTCTGCAGCGGGCAGTTACCAAGCATCTTCATCAACTCAGAAGATATCAATTACGTAAACGTCCAAAATGAACAATATAGGCAAATAAATGCCAGCTAGAGTAATTTTTGCTGGCAATATTAGGTTTTAACTGGCACTTTGCCAGTATGCAAGCTTAAATTCTAACCTTGTTTTAAAAATGAATTGACAAGTAACAGATGCAAGGGAAGTTTTATCATTGTCTTATACATGTTTTCAGCTACTTACATAATTATATAGTACAATACAACGTCTTCAAAATGCCTAAATAATTGCTACCCTAGTTGTGCATACTGCTGGCAAGTTCCTCTCTGCTGCACAAAATGGCCACCGGCTTTCACAGGTTATACTGCTGGTTGGAATTCAATGAAACTTCACAGAACTGATCAGCACCATCCCTAGTTGTGCATATTGCCGGTAATTGTTCTGCTCCGCTGCACAAGATGGTGGCCAGAACTATAAAATTAATAGTAACATCTTGTTTCAGTAAAATTTGTCTTACATTTCTAATGGAATAAATGAAATTTTAGGAATGTTATTATCAAAGGCAATTAGGCGTATATTACCAGTGTAAGAAATTAGGATATGAATCTACTAGGCTGGTCGGACTACCAGATTGGAATATTCACTAGCCCAAAAGACATATCACTAGCACGATTCATTTGTTCAAAACAGTTGTTTATATTGTCTCTGAAAATACAGTAGCCTGCTTGGGCTTGTTACTGTGAAAAGTTGGTAGGCCCAAGGAGAAATTTAGTAGTCTGGGGCTATAGGAGTACTGCTAATTTCGAACACTGTATTACTGATATTTTGACATATATTGCAGATTTTATGTCAAAGCTCAAAAAGAAAAATTCAGGGGCAATTAAGTCACTTTTCAGTGACAGCCCATGTTTAATGCTACAAACCATAATTTAATGTAAAGTTTGTGAAATATTTAAAATATTATTCTTTTAAGGATGTTTTTGGGAGTTTTCATATAGACTTATAGGCAGAATTAAATTCTATTAAACAATTCTCATTTTGCCCATATGTCTATATGAAAAGTCCAGAAAACGTATTAAAATTAAGAGGAGCTAAATAACTTTTTTTTTTCAAAAAAACCCAACTCCTTTGAGTATTATCACCTTTAGTAATAAATAAGGCTGAATACAGTCTGGTAGAATCATTTTGTTTTATTCTAGTTAGTTTATGTTTTTTAAGTTTGTTGCAGTATAATGGCTATTCGGGCTACCGAAGACCTATTTTATTTGGGGCGTCCTAGGCCGACAGTTTGCTCCTCACTGCTGTGGGTTTAAATCCCTACAGGGACCTTGGATTCTTTTATGTGAGGAAACTCGTAACCCAGCTATCTTACGGAACGTCAGTGGTTTTACTTGGGTGCCTGTTCTTGCCTGAAATAATGCACAGAAAGGCAACCAAAGTCTTCCTCCAACAGTAAAGCTGGAACAGCGCCATATGACCAATACTGTGTCTGTGTGATGTAAAACCCAATCAAACAAACATATTTTGTTATATTATTATGACTATTTTAATTGTGACAAAAGCATATTAAATGATAAATATGTTTTTTTCCCTATCATGAAATATGTCAATAAAATTTAACCATTCCAAATGAAGATAAATTATTATTTTCCATTAATGGTGTCAAAACTCATAATTTAGCTTTTTCAAAACATTTTTTCTTCATTGACAACTTGCAATTTTTTACTTCTAAAATAATTTGTAATTGTATGGATTTTTCCAACACTCATTTACATTCAAATGCAAATCATCTGTTGAAAACTTACTATGTCTGAAAGTGGTTTTTCTTACTTAATACTTGGAAACAGGTCTTACCCTTTTGATTTTGGTAAAAATTATTATTAAAATTTCTAATTTTGTAAGTAAAAAGGCTAATTATGAAAGTTCACATTTTTAGGGTTTACTGCATTATTTTTTTTAATAAAAATTTCTATTGGGACCTGTTAAATAAGGTAAAAAATCACTTGAAGTTGAGTGATCAATCACTTAAAAATAATTACACTCTGGTTTTGACCGGATGAATAAAAAAAGACCTTTGCATACCAGTGAGATGCGTAAATCAGAATGTTTGAGTTGGCTACTTTTACCAAAAAAACAGATGTAATTGTAACTATTACTCAGAAAAAAACTGTTTCAATTAAGATTACGAGGGAAAGAAATAGTCAGATGCAATTTTAAAAGCCTTCAGATTATTAAGTAATTTTGTCTATGACGGAAGAAAATTCCCATTTCAGTCGCTTAATTTATTGAACGCGGCACATTAAAACATGAAATCGTTTCTGAGAGCTGAGAATGTAATCATGTTGGCACCGTCTAAAATATATTTTGTCAGTCTGAATTGCCCTGGTTAATTCAGCTGAATAATTTCTTGTATGTCGTCTGTACTCTGTAGTACTCAATTAGGAAAAGCACTTTTAATGCTTTAGATTTTTTTTGTAGTTATATTATGTTTTTTTCCCAACATCCCATGACTTCTGGATGGGGATTTGGTGGTGGCAATCTTTGTCTTCCAAGGGGGTTGCAATGTTTGTCTTCCAAGGGGGCTTGAAACCTTTGTCTTCCAAGGGGGGTTGCAATTTTTGTCTTTCAAGGGGCGTTTGCTTTACAGAGGTTGAACTATATCTTTTTAATAGTTTTTGTGGTAAAAATTAATCATGTATTATCACTATTTTTAAAACCTGTTTGTCATATTGTATCATTAACAAGAATACTATATTACTTGTACATGTATAATTTAGTTTCAGTTACTTACAATCACTAGATTTAAAAGTAACATCATTAGTTAAATGATGTTCGAGAGAAATAGCAATAACACTTAACAGTGTTGGTTAAAACATATTTATTTAAGCTTGATTGCAAAACAAGTTCTTGCAACTTATATAAATCACTTTCTAGTCCTCTTCAGTTTTAATAGTGTTAAAATTGCCAACAGGCTTCTTATATTGCCATCACCAAAATGGTTTTTAATATGTTTTGCATGAAGATAAATTCTGATAATGTAGTCATGTAATGCATTTTCTGTTTTCAGGTATGAATTTTCTTGCTTTGTAATTAATGGTATACTAAGAGGCTCAGGGCATGGGAAAACTATGGCAGCTTCATCGATTGATTTAGACTCGCCTGATTTGTGTCTTATCGACTGCGGTATATCTAGTCTTCAAGAACTTCCATTGAAATCGCATCTTGTTTCCTTGAATCTGCACAGCAATTACATCAGTCATATAGATAGTCTTGGTCATCTCAAGCTTCTGAAGCATCTAGATTTGTCTGCTAACCAGATCCGTGTTATTGAAGGGCTTGCTGGATTGACTTCTTTGAAGACATTGAATTTGTCCTGCAATTTGTTGAGCACTGTTGAAGGGTTGTCAAACCTTAGGTATTATTTTCTTTTTATCTCTTACCATGCTGGCAGCAATAAATGATTTTCCCATATGAACAGTGCAGACCACGATCAGTGAGTACATCAGTACCAGTTGATAATCTTGGTCTGCACTGTTTATTATTCAGTTAGTACTTATTTTGAAATTTTCTTTAGAAAATGATAAATTGTTTTTTCCAGATTGAAAGATGGAATGTCCATTTAAGATATTCAGGGTGGTCAAATTTAAATCTCCTGGCTAAATGCTGACATATTGAATATGAATCTTGTTACAAAGTGCTAATACTAAGTACTTTTAGACTGTCAGAAAATGAAATCCACTTTGTGGCTAAGGGGTTGCCATTAAGGGTTGAGGCATCAGAATTGCAGGTACTGTTTATCCCTGTGTGGTCTTAAGAGGTGATTTAATGGGTTCAAATTACTGTAGTCTATGCATCCCTTAGCACCAGCAGGTGAGGTGGTTTTAACCCTTGTGTTGCTTTTAGTTTGTAACACTTGAGATTAGCCAAAATCATCTTTCCTTGTTTCGGCACCATATGACCTTTATTGTGTTGGTGCTAGTAAAACTAAACAAACAAGCAAAGAAAATGAAATTAGAGACCTCTCACACAAATGCACTATGGTAACCCTGACTCCCAACACTAAGGGCATTTTTAAGGACTGCTGGGAAATGATATGAGTTTGAATCCTTTATCAGTTCCAGCACTGCATTGTGACTTGTCAAGGGTAAGTTTTGCTTTGGTGCATAGCACTGCAGGGTTATTTAGTAGAATATTTGACCATATAATTGTAGTCATAGAATGTTTAGTAAGCCAAGTAATGTGAAAATCAATTTTTTAGGAGACATTAAATTAGAATCTGTCTGTCTGCCAACATGTATATACTGGTTTGTTTTTTGTTTGTTTTGTTTTTGGTTTTGCGTCACATCGACAACAGTATAGGTCATATAGCGACGTTCCAGCTTTACTGTGACAAACTAAAATTCATGCTAATTTTCATGAAAATTTTGAAAATATTTTTAAAACTAAATGATTTTAAAACCAAAATACTGTTGAGTGACCAAAGAAGGTAATTTATACAAATTACCAAAAGAGGTTAAATTATGTAAAAATAGCCCTTATAATATGTAAGTCACCCAGTAGACAAATAGTGATAAATACAGCAAAAGAAGTCATTAATTTCTTATACTTATAATTATATGTACTTGAATCTTTTTACCTTTCCTAAAACTTCCATATTTTTTTCTCAAGTTTGATTTTCTTGAAATATTTTGGCTCATCTGGAGGCATGCAGCTTTAAAATACAAATTTTTTTTGTATGTCAGCTGAAAAATCATGAGCTTAGACTACATGATAGAAATTAAAAGGAAACAAAAAGTATGAAAGAAATTTTTTCTTTTGCTTAATTTGAGAATGAATTAAAAGGACTCAGGTGTTAGATGTTTATTTATTAATTTTTAATACAAATTTTCTCAAATAGTTTCACCATTCTTTTAGTGATAAGATAAAATGTTTTACAACTGGATTAAATTAATTACTTTTTTTTTTTAAAGATAAGATAGAATTGAGGTATTTTACACTGGCATTAAAATTACTTGAAAATTATGGTCCATTTAGATTTTTTGTATATTTTTTTCCTATAATTAGATTAATAGGAAAAAATGTCTTATATGTTAATTTTAATTATATAAAGCCTTAATTAATTGTAAAGATATAAAGTTGCTTGCCTCTTGAGATTCATGCTAATATTTCTATGAAAACCCATCCCATGCAAAATATCTTAAATCACCAAGTCCATTTTCATTTTGAAAATGTTTAAAATTCTGCCTCATCAATCACTAAAGATTGGAATATTGTTAGTAAAAAACCACACATTGACCTACAGTTTTACTTTCTTTAAGTGTAAATTAGGTTTATTATCAGGTGTACTGTAGTGTGGTAAACTCTGTTGATTGATGGAAGCCTGGTAAAAGTTAATTAGAAAATTACAATTCTAATAAACTTTGTCGACCTGATCGCAATGACCGCAGTCCTCTCATTGAACTTCTATGTACTCTTTGTTTGATTATTTTCTTAAAAAGCAGAAAAGCATAATAATCGATGGGCTATGTGATACTAAAACTCTTCATTTGAATTTTTTCTTAAAAAAAAACAACAGAATATGCTAAAGTACCGAAAGGTTATGTGATACTAAAACCTGATAGAATTATCCAAAATAAATTATATACATTTTTAGGTCTAAAATACATTTTCAGGTTTAAAGTGTTCGATAAGATTTAAATGAATTTTGCTTCTTTCACATAAATTTGCATTTTTTTCATCCTTTAAAGTAACATGCCTCTAGATTCTTGCTAATTTTCATGAAAATTAAAAAAAAATTTAAGAGTAAAATATTGTGAAGTTAACAGAAAAGATAATTTACTCATTGCAAATATGGCACTAATATACATTATCCACGTAAATTACCAAAAAGAGGTCAAAATATGCAAAAACAGGTCTGTGTTAAATATGGTGAATAAACACTGCAAAATCTGTCATTAATATCAAACAGAAAATGTTGATTATTACAATGTACTTGAATCTTTTTACTTTTCCTAAATCCTCAGAACATTTTCTTAAAAACCTCAGCACATTTTTCTCAAGTTTGATTTTCTTAGAATATTTTGGGTCATCTGGAGGCATGCAGCTTTAAAACAGTAGAATTTTCAAAAAGTAACTCTGATAATTAAAAAAAAATAAATATCTTGTATAATAATAATGTAGATATCAAATCTATATGACAATTGTGGCACAGCATTATGTGTTTAATATCAAATCTGTTGGCAAAACTGCATGATTCTGTATTATATAGTAAAAATCTAAGAATTGGATGCCCTTCATAATACCAAGAATTGAAAGCAAATATTTTCTTCTCAAGGACTTTATCAGAAAATTGAAAGTAAAGCTTACATAAGTATTTAAGGACATTAAGCCTCAGAAATTTTCTCTCTGTTTAAATGGCAAATACATGTATAAGTTATATAATTTTGTAGTAATGGGCTTGGAACATGTGAGATGCATATCACCAGACGGTAATAGCGCTGAATGTGAAATAATTTGTCATTTAGGTAGAAAAAACTTTAAAAGTATACAAAGTGGTGTTTTTACTGCCATAAATAAACTAAATTGCAGTAAGTATACATATACTTATTGCCAAAAGACAATGGAAGCAAAAGATACATGGCGAATGAGTAACTTTTTGGAAACAGAACATCAAAAAAAAAAAATGTTTAGAAACTAAAGATAATAGTATTTTTGAGGCTATATGGGCCTTTAAAACAATTTCATAGTATATCCTATAAACTACTAGTATTTATTTTATTTTCCAGACATTTAGAGAAAATTAACCTGAGTTACAATCAAATAGATGACCTCACTGGTTTGAAGGCGTTGTCAGGGTCGTCATACAGCGTGTCACATATAGATCTCCATGGTAACAAGCTGTCCTCAGTGGCACACATAGCACAGTGTCTGTGTCGACTCGTTGGTTTAAAACAGCTGATTCTCAGTCTAGACGGATCTAGCAATCCAGTGTGTCATAAATCAGGTTAGTTACCTACAGAAGAATATCTTAATGTCTCATTAGCTATTTTGTTTTAAAAAAAAAGTCGAGCTATTATGATCACTACTTCGTTGTTGTCATGGTCATGCAAAGACTTTAAAATACAGCCAGAGGATAATCTCTTTCAAAAAGTGTCCATTATTTTTCAGGAAAGAACACCTTTATTACAGTAGCTCTCCATTATGATACAATAGAAATGTGCGTGTATGTGAACACTTAAGTCAAATAATGTGAAGTGAACAAATAAAGTAATATTTATATAATGCAATCAGCACTATGTCTTGCAATCCGGGTAAATTACCAAAAAGTGGTCAACATATGCATAAACAGCCCTTATTGTGTTAGTAAAGCAGTAGAAATATGGTGATAAAAATTTGCACAATCAGTGTTAAACCGCAGATAGCATGTAAAATATAACTTGGTTCTTGAATGTTTTTAATGTTTTGGACGGTTTTAAGTGTCACATGCATTGTTCTACAATTCTACAAAAAATCTAGTATAACTAATGGAAGAAATTATAGGATAGTTCCTCAATATTATGATAATGCCCCAGTTTATTGTAATCCCATAGCCCTTTACCTTTGGAGAAAATGTGCTGTTTTTGTTTGTTTATCTGGGTTTTAATATATTTGGTCATATCTCAATGGTCAGTCCACTATTTGGCTTTTCCTGGTTAACTGACCAGTAGTTAGTGATTTAACTCTGCAAGTGACCAACTGACCAACTACAAAATCCCACATGAGACATGTGACCAGTACACTCAGTGTCCGAGATTTATTGTCATCCCACCAGGATTAAACCAGAAACCTGTGCATTACAAATGACATTGATTGTGATGGAAGCTATGAGCTTATTGAAACATTCTCAAATCTGTTCCAGAAACAAACCAGTACTAAGCAATGAGTGTAAAGTTTCTTGCTCAAGGAAATAACGGCTTGGCTCTGAGGGGGTTTAACCTACTAGGCCAGAAATCCTTAGATCACTTGTCAGACTTGTTAACCTCTCGGCGATGCTACGGCACAGATGCCTTTGAATAGCTTTGAATAGATAATAAATATATACATGTATAATTATGTACACTACAGAATTAACTGATTTTCATGCAGAGTTTTGACATCATTCCCAGTTAAAGTTTGCAATCCTGTTTAAGTTTGCAGTCAATAAAATGAAAACACTGCCCACAATACAGAAATGGGAGACATACACGTACATGCAAATAAAGAGACAAGAAATTTAACTGCATATTCTCTATTCTGGAAATGAAGAAATAACTTTGCATTCAATTGAACATTTTAACAATAAATGGCAAATTATATATTCAATGTATTCATGCGATAGTCTACAAAACATTCATATTAAAACATGACTATGTGAATTAAAGATTTTATTACTTTGGGAAGCTTTAGGAATCCTTAGGAATACTCTAGACATAATATATTTAAAGGCATACCAGTTAACTAAATCACATATTTTCTCATTATAATACAAAATGAGTCTATCCGCTGTCAGTTTTGATCATGCAATAAAAATAAATGAGACACTCAGGCTTGATTATTAGGAAAATAATTGCATTAGCAATTTTAATCTCAGCTGGAGAGTGAAAGAAAACGAGCTCTCCTGCAGTCAAAAAAGGCTGAAAATGTAAAATTTGAAATATGAAATTTTACTTTGATCTAGTAACGTACATCAAATTTTAAAACCAGCAAAGGCTAGATCAGGAAAATACTCAAGAGTTAAATAGAAAATCAAAAGTTAGTGCAATTGTTTGCCTGATTTGAGTGAAAAGCATTGCAACGATGAGTTGAGTCTGAATGATGTGAAAATTCACTCACAAATTATTGCTTCATACCTTCATTAAACTGAACACAAATCTCTGTAAAATTTTTCCAGTGATATCAAAAAACCTCTATGGTGTTTCTTTAAAATAAAAGTATTACTTTGTTACTTATTATGTAGAAAGGTTTAATCATAGTTGTCTCCCTTATACTATAGCCTGTAAAACCATTATGCAGAGATTGATGTAAAATGTTACAATACTTTGGGCTCAAGTCACATGTGAAAAATCTGTTTCTGCTTGCTTTCAAGTTGTTTTTCCCCCTTCTATAGCAGGGATATTAAAGGTTTGCTTACTCCAAGGAAAATTCTTTGAAATCTTTTTTCCCATTTAATAAGTTTACATTAACTTTTTTTCTTCCCCTATAGCAAAAAATATCCCAAATAAAAGTAATCCATCCAATACTAGTGAATAAAAAACATAGCTTAGAACTGATGTACTAGGAAACAGTTTATTTTAACAAAAATACTTTTCTCTTGTCTGTATATTCATTAGCAATGGACACTAATACACAGTGACATTCACAGAGGAGAATAAGCCAAACTTGGGGAAGGTAATTTGTTTCTTGATTCAAGTACATTCCCATCTGATTTTAATCAGACTGAAATAAGGTCTGTCTCTTCCCAAAAAACTGCTAGCAATTAGAATGTTTATATCTCTCAAGGAATCTTATTTTCAGAAAAGCCTTATCAGATTTGAAATTTTAGAATACCTCTTATGCTCACTATTTTATGCTTTCCTTCCCCTTGTGGCTTAGTGGTTGGTTGCCTTTAAGGGTTGAGAAACTTTAAGGATTGAGACATCAAAATTGTAGCGACCCTTAATCTCTAATTATCTTTGTGTAATCGTAAGAGGTGACTAAATGAGTTCCCCTGTGTGATCTTAAGAGGTGACAAATGGGTTCTCCTGTGTGACCATAAAAGGCAACAAACTGGGTTCGAATTAAGGGAGTCTATGTAGCAGGTGAGATGGTATTGACCCTTGGTGTTGCTTATTTGTAACTCCCAAAGTTAGCCAAAATCATCTTTCCTTTTTAGGCGCCATATAACCTAAATTGTGTTGGTGCAATGTATAATCACACTAAACAAACAATTGATGCTTTCCTTTTGGAAAATTAGACTAAGTATTTTGAATGAAGGTACTTTGAATTGACCCCCTACTCTTGTGCAAGTACGTTCAAGGTCACAATGGCTTAAAGTGAATTTTTCTTTTCTTTTTTATATAACCTATATTTATTGATTGATTCTTTAGTCAAAGGAGTCAAGGTCTCACAGGGGGTCAAGATCACAATGGCTTAAATCTAATTTTTTCTACTTTTCCTTATTCATTTTTTTTTGTGAAAGTGTTGAATGTTACAAAAAGGGGTCAAGGTCACAAAAGATTATATTATTAATGTTTCTACTTACCTTATAGTTTGCCAAGGGGTTTAATCTGTTTGAATGTCACAAAATGGGGTCAAGGTCACAAAGGCTAATAATGATTGTTTCAATTTTCCTTTGTTTGTCAATGTGTTTTATCTGTGTCAAAGTTACATCACGCTACATCCATCATTGTCTCTAATATTCTATATCTTTGATATATTTCTCTAATAGCTGTTACTAATTGTTACATTACCACAGGCTATGAGCGTGAATTAATGTCAAATTTACCACAGCTGCATTATCTAGATGGCAGGGATCGGCTTGGAAACACTCAATCTGACACCGATATGAATGCTCCAGGTATGTTGATGGAATATTATGTTATATTTTTCCCCTGATTAAAGCTTTCAGGGATAATTGACATGTAAAAGCAACATGAAGTTTGCAGTATAATTATTACTTTTGTTCCTGTTTGCCTTTTGAGACACATGTTCCATCCCCCATGCTCAAGTTTCATGTCGTTCAATTACACAGGGATTCAGTAAAATTAGAATAAAGCCTTTTGAAGTAATGTTACAATTTTAAAAGTAAAAGATATTGAAGCATGCTAGTAACCATTAAGATTTATACTGATTTATTTTAGTTTGATTGTGTTGGAAGCTATAAGTTTATTGAAACACCCTCCAATTTGTTCTTGGAACCAACCAGTAATAAGCAATGAGTGTCAAGTTTCTTGCTCAAGGAAACAACGGCTTGCCCCTGACGCATTAACAACTTGACGTAGTTGAATCCATTTAATTAATACAAAAAGAAAATATTAAGAGCATGAATGTTTACTACTTATTAAGTAATATATATATATATAATGTATATGTATATTTATGTAAAAACTTAATATTGAAATTATTTCAAATTCTCTTCGCTTCAATATTTTATAATGTTTAAATCCATTAAAAAATTTTTAGTCATATTTATACACTTTAGTAAGTCTGAGAAGCTTTTGTATGAAGCCATATTGATTCATGTTTGCATGATCTTGTTGATACGTAATATGTTATTTTAGTTTTTGAATAAACACATTTATGGGTTTTCAGGTTTGGATGACTTTTTAGATTATTTGCTTTCAAGTGGAGCAGATTCTGAAACTCTTAAGGTAGGAAACATTCACCATACTGTTTTAGATTCACGCAATTTTGACATTTACCATACCATTTTAGACTTACATAATATCATTTTACTGTTTGATTCTCTTCATGCAATTAACAGCAATTCAAGGGTTGACTGCATAACTGCAGTAACTTATATGAAATAAAGAAGAACTAACATCAGTTTTGCAGTCAGCAGTCAGCCCTGGAGGTCAATCTTCAAATTTTCGGCTGCTTTGCTCAATAGGGACAGATTTGGATTTTATTGTTTGTAATCCAGGGGTGACACAGGTTTGATCCTGGGGTGAGAGACAAAATTTCTCTGTGACAGTTGGTCGTGGACATTGAGTATAATAATCATAATTCTCTCACTGCTGATTCAGAAATGATATGGGATTAATACATGGCCACTTGTGTGCTGGTAAGTTATCCAGGAAAACCAATGAGTTGGATTGACAGCCAAGATTTGACCAAATTTGTAACTGTTCTAGCACAAAAATTATTTTTCCCTTTAGAATCAGTTAAAATAATTTGTAATTTCAGTTGGTTGTCATTATATTCATTAACTTTATAATGTTATGTTTGCTGACTTTGAAGAGAGGTATGTCATGGCCAGTAGATGACCTCTATTGATTTTGAGGTCAAAGGTCACAAGAAAAACATCCTATTAGTCACTATTTATTGTCACTTTATCTAAAATAAGCTTGAAAACATTTTTTCTCCCTTTACGATATGCAAATTAGTGGCACTTGATTATTTTACATACTTATCTGTTCAGATACTTGTTTCCAATTACCATACCAAATTCCCCCAACCCCTAAAATCAAACATTATTATTTTGATACAATTTAGTATATAGCTTTAGGTTCTAAGATATCTTAGAAATGTTTGGATATATGTTCAACCCTATGTGACCCTATCTATAATTGGACAAATGCTATTCCTTGAACTACATTATTAAGTATTACAATCAATCAAGTAATGCCATTCATGACTGCCGCACATAATTTAGCAAGAGGTCGTTTTCTATGTTAGCTGTCAGCTATTTTTTTATTGACCCTAATGAATTGTACACGATAATGCTTTCTTTCTATTAGTGTAGGCTATTTTATGTTCAGTGTCTAACTTATATCCATGGGTATAAAAAAACAGTGAAAATTTGTTTTTGTATGGCATATAGTTCAGGACAAGAGCCGACTAGAAAAATTATTTCTCTCACGACTTAACACTTTAGTGGACAATTGTTCCGGAAATTTCTTGTCGTAGAATTATTTTTTATCCCCCATCACAAGTATCATCCAATTCTCATCACATGACGTACTCTCTAACAGTATTTTAGGATAACGGGGTTTTTAAAAAATTTTGTTTAACTTGTACCCGTTTAGGGCAAAACGGTCTGCACGTTTACTATTAAAAAATTTGTTTATAAAATTTTTAAATTTTTTTTTATCATATAATGGGGAATTTTTTTTCCATTTAAGGTTTTGTGTAAAACCCGAATGTTATATATATCTTGGAACTTTTAAATACCCCAAAAATTTAAAACAAGAAAAGTAACCAGTTAAGGACTAAAAGATCTCTTTTTTTTGCCACTGTATAACCCATGTATTAGGGCATTTAAATTTACATTAAAAAAAATAAATTTAAATGTAAGATTGCAGCTTTTTTAAGTTGTAAACTCGTAAATTTTTAAAAAGAAAAGCTGATGTGTTTTAAATTTCCCCAATTTTTTTCATTTTTAAACACAGCTGTAATTTAAAAAAATGGGACTACGAAGTTCACTAAATTTTGTAAATTCTTTGGTAGGCTTTTATTTCCTTTGTCTCTGAGGAGGGAATGAACAAATCAACTAATCTTTATACTTACAAATGAAATATTGAAAAATATTAGCCTTGGAAAGGATAACAAATACTTTTGACAGGAAGATATATTTATAGATTTTTATTTAATCAATTACTTTTCATATTTTCCCCCCTTTATACATGTAGATTTGTAAATTTACAGCCATGCCAAACATTATAACAGTGAAAGTTGAGAAAACCGGAAGCTGAGAAAACTGGAACTCTCTAAATACTGGACGATTAATTCAGTCCCAAATTTTCCCTTCGCTAACTTTTGTATTAATCATTGACAATACCGGAATCTGTAAAAACCGAATATCGGACGGTTGATAGGGGACCATGAAGACAATTATATAGATAATTACCCTGACAATACCGGACGGCGGAGGTGTGAATAACCTTGTTGAGTCGCCTCTACGGAGTAGTGGCGACATATAGGGATCACTTCTCCGTCGTCTGTCTTTCTGTCTGTCTGTCCGTCCGTCACAAAGCTTGTCCGGACTTCTTCTCATAAACTACTGGTGCAATTTCATCCAAACTTTACAGGGATGATCAGTACCAAGTCTAGTTGTGCATATTGTCAGCATTTTCCGGTTCAATGATTTTTGTCAGAGTTATGGCCCTTTAATAATTTTTATTTTTAAAGTTTGTCTGGACTACTTCTCTTATACCACTAATGCAATTTCAATTACAGGATTGATCTGTAGCTCAAGTCCTTGCGCGTATTGCACGGGTTTTCCGGTTGAATGATTTTTGGCCGAGTTATGGCCCTTTGATAAAAAGGTGTTTTTTTCTGTGTGTTGCCAGATACACAAAAGCTTGTCCGGACTACTCCTCATAAACTACTGGTGCAATTTTATTCAAACTTTACAGGAATGATCAGTACCAAGTCTAGTTGTGCACTGTCCGTCTGTCTGTCCGTCTGTCACAAAACTTGTCGTCCCAACATGAAATTGGCCATCATGAGGCAACACATGTGATCACTGATCGCTCTTGCGTACTTGTCAATTGGTTGTGTCTAAAATGATAACTGAGCGGTAATGGGACACTGATTGTCTGATTTGTTTATTATGTCCGTTTTCACAGTTTGAGTTATTGTAAGGCATAGATGTTACTGTTTTATATTAATGCTAAAACATTGTACGAGGAATATAAGTTAAAATCAGTATAAATAAAAAATTGAGTAATTTTATACTGCGTTGCTTTTGTATATTCATTTCCCAAAATATCAATGCAACGGAAAAGACATTTATCGGCGCCAAGTTCAATTCCATCACCAAAAAGAATTCACCGATAGTCCAAGTTGAATTAATTAAAGACAGTGAAACTTTGCCAAACCTTAAAATAAGGCATCTGCAATTTTTACAGTGGAAGGGGGGCATTATTAAAAATAAACAAAGTAAACTATGTTCGTAATCATTTAATATCCAGTACCCAAATGTAAACAAGTGCGGATATAATAGGACTGTATCATTATGAGGTAACTGCTGTTCGTTTTAAATCAAAATTTTATTGTATTTAGATGCAATAAAAATACAATAAAGTGACAAAAATAAATAAAACATGTTACTTTGTAATTTATCATTTCTTTGGCAATTTACGTACATATGATCATGAAAATGCATATACACAGCATCCGTTGTAAGTCAGTGCTCGGTACATAGGATTCAAAGGGACATAGAGAAAACTGGACCGCTGAGAAAACTGGACCCTTGGTCTGAAAGCCATCCGGTTTTCTCAACTTTCACTGTATGTTGAAGTTAAACATTATAGTACAAATATATACTTAAAGAGTATTAAAATGTACCTTTCTAAAAGATTGTCTGTTTTTTTACCTGCTATATAGCATGCAGTATCTTAAATAGACAAAAGTACTTAATCTATTGGTGTACTTAATCTATTGGTTTAACATTTTGTTCCTAATGCTTAAAGTGACATTATGTTCATTTTTTTTTCGTTGTCAAGTTTTCGGCATCATCTGACCTAAATTGTGTTGCTGCAATATAAAATAAAAAATGAAATAAATTGTTGTCAAGTTCAGGATTGGCAAATTTTATATTATATATTTCAAAAGATTTACTTTTTTAATGGAGATTGACCGATTTAAGGTAATTACATGGGCATAATGTCACATTAAAGTACATGTACATGCAAGCAGTTCCCTGATTTGAAGAAAGTTCATGTCTTAATTTACCATTTATTAGTTTCATCAGAAAGAAAGCTCAAAGTGGACACAAAAACTTGTTTAAAGATCAAGCGATGATTTTCTTTTGTAGCGAAAAGTACATTTAGGTAGGAGCACTTAACTTAGTACTGGACATTGAGACTGTACAGATCTATATATAATAATTGTTTCTTTAAGGAAAATAATTGGAAAATTGGGTAACTGTTACTGAAGTACTCTTGTCCACTAATGGAATAATGACGGAAAGTGGCAGTTCATTCAACCTCTGTTAATGAGAATAAATAGACAAGGATTGGTCACGCAAGCAGTGTCATGATGTACTTTAATGAGTGACTCTGGTCTGTGATAAATCTGTTTTAATTAGTCTCTTGGGTATAAACAAGCTCTTTGCTATGTCTTGTTTTTGTTTATCTCTTGGAAAGTCTGTGATTAATTTGATAGTTAAGAAATAATAGTATGTGAGATAACAGGATGCTGCTGCTGCTTTATTGGATGTTTATTAAGCCATTGTTTAGTTAATGTTTTCTTTGTTTGTTAAGCCACTGTATAGCCATTGTATCTATGTTTGTTGAACAATTGTATAGCCATTGTATAAGCAGTTGTATAGCTTTATATTCGGGGCGTCCGTGGCCGAGTGGTTAAGGTCGTTGACTTCAAACCACTTGCCCCTCACCGCTGTGGGTTCGAATCCCGACAGGGACTTTGGATTCTTTCATGTGAGGAAGCTATCCAGCTAGCTTACGGAACGTCGGTGGTTCTACTCAGGTGCCCGTTCGTGCCTGAAATAATGTACGGAAGGGCACCTGAGGTCTTCCTCAACCAGTAAAAAGCTGGAACGTTGCGATATGACCTATACTGTGTCGATGTGACGTAAAACCCCAAAACAAACAAAAGCTTTATATTCTATGTTTGTTGATTTATTGTTTAGTAATTGTATCTATGCTTGCTGAGCAATTGTAAAGCAATTGTATTAGCAGA